TATTGTACATTATACTAAACCATGTTATATTCCTTCTCCTTTTTGGCTGATAATATTTCTGTTTTTCTCATTAACAGTGAACTGGTGTTGAAGTCATTAGTGGTCTGAGGGCTCCTCCTCTGGTGGCTTCATGTTACAAGTGTTCAGGCACTGAGGGGTTTTTGTTCAGGTCTACTGATGGTTTATGTTGTTGTGGCTCTCTGGCACAGTAATTTAGAGTCACTGTGTTGCTGGAAGAGTCTGTGTCGATACTGAACTTGTTCTTTAGTGAATCTTTGTAATGTGTGCTGGAGCCAACTCTCATTCCAATCCACTCCAGTCCTTTCCCTACATGCTGTCTGATCCAAGCTGTGTAGTAGCCAAGAGAATAAGAGACCTGACAGGTGATGGTCAGACATTGACCTGGCTGCACAGTCACAGAGGCTGGCTGTGTCAACTGTTCACACTTCACACCTGTGGAGAAAAACATGTTGAATTTTGAATCAGTGTAATAACAGTGAACAGTCACCTCCCCTCTGCTTACTAGGTGATATATCAGCAATCAGTCTGGAAAATAAGGAAAACAATCGATTACTCCTTGTGGCTCTATCTATCGGCAAGAAAACCATCCTTCTGAACTGGAAATCACTGCCATACATATAACACATTGGAAAAACTTAATGATAGAGTACATATCCATGGAAAACTTATCTAAACCCACCACAAACATCCCGATAGACTCACACTCTACCTGGACAGCATTCATTAAATTCATCCAATCCTGATTCCATGGTTCTTGCCGAATCAAACCAATGGTAATCGACACAAATCATGTTTTGAACAGTATCTACTAGAGGCCTATTTGGTCAAGGCTCGATCCTCATATTCTTTACTCTCCACATCAAATATTCTATATTTTACACATCAAATAAATGTTTAATTTGCACATGATTGCACAGTCTCTACTTAACTGGCCCCCTCCTCACGGTCTGGGAGCAGTTTAGAAAGTGGACATGGTCTCTTTGGGCTGGCTCCCTCCTAAAGGGTCCGGGAGCAACCCAAAATAGGACCAGCATCAGACAAAATTAAACAAACAATCTTTTAAAAGACAAACAGAGTAAAATAGGAAAACTTTCTAAACATAAAGGTGCCCAACCCTTGCTGTCCTGTTCCGCTGCCCCGGGCGGTGCCCTCACGTTACCTTACCTGGGGACGGTGGCAGCAGCAGTATTCCAACTCTATTTTGACTTTTTGTTTGTATTATTATTAATAACCTGCAATTATTTGTTATTATTGTTTTTGTTATTGCTATTATAGCAATTATATGTACCATTGTATTGTCATATCTATGTTATGTATTTTGTCTTGCAATAAAAAAAAGGAAAAATAACAGTGAACAGTCAGTGTGCTGTGATCATACTGTCAGTGTCCCTGCCTCAGTGAGATTCACAGGATCCAGCAGCAGCAGCAGCAGCAGAGCTACAGAGAACATGGTTGGTATTGAAGGTGATCTGATGGGAGCTTCTCTTCTTCTGCTGCAACTGACAGCATGACATCAAGTCTTTATAGCAGACTGTGAGGAAGTTCACTTTGCATAGAGAAGGACACTGACAGTCTCCACCTGCTGGCATGTAAAACTGTCTTCTCCCAGCGCTGTTCCAAAGACTTCTATTCCTGTCATCATCACGCATAGACCAGTAAACCGAAATGTGCACATCCCACACAGAAATAATAGTAATCTCTTAAGGATTAGGACAACTGCACCAACTCCAGCACCCAGAACAAACTCATTTAAAATGGCTCTCTTCAATGTGAGATCACTTTCAAGTAAGACGTTTATCTTAAATGATTTTATCTTGTCTGCAAATCTAGGTTTTATGTTTTTAACTGAATCCTGGTTGCAAATAAATGACTATAGCCAGCTAGCTGAACTGTGTCCGCCTCAATATGATTGTTTTAGTCAACCAAGGGTCAGTGGTCGTGGTGGTGGGCTAGTGAGCGTGTATAGGAAATATTTAAAATGTCATCAAGTAAGCTGTGATGAATTTAACTCCTTTGAAGTTTTCACTCTTAACTTGGAGGGCTGCAACCTGTCATATTTGTTATAATTTATCGCCCCCCAAAACCACCTGGAGGATTTTTATCAGAACTTCCTGAATTTTTATCTACTCTGGTTTTAAATTATGACAGAATTGTTCTTTGTGGCGATTTTAATATTCATGTTGATGACCCCAACAATGTTAATGCAACTAACTTTTTAAATATGGCCGCTTCTTTTAACTTCAAACAACATGTCAAAGGGCAAACACATAACCATGGTCATGCACTGGACTTGGTTTTTACCCTGGGTGTCAGCATTTCTTCTGTGGAATTAGTGGACATGACCATATCTGACCACAGATGTATTGTTTTTAGCTGCGATTCGCCTGTTACTCATGCTGCCTCACCAAGCTCCGTGTGTTCTCGCTTCTTTAATGAACAAAGTGTTTCAAAGTTTTGCGCATTCTTTCAGAGCCAAAGCCAACACCTGTCTGATTCCAACACCAACAATCTGGTCGATCACTTCAATCATATCTGCTTGTCGTCACATAAATATTACTGCTCCTCTAAAGGTTAGGCCTACGTCTAAAGCTAGTAAGCAACCCTGGATAAATGACAGCATTCGCAGTCTAAAAAGGGAATGCAGGAAAGCAGAGCGCAGATGGAAAAAATCCAGTCTCCAAGTCCATTACCTCAGTCTGAAGGATTTATCAATTAAATACAATAACTTGGTTAAGGATGCGAGAACACACTATTTTTCTGAACTCATTACTACACATAAACACAATCCCAGGTTTCTGTTTAAGACTGTGGATCAGCTGGTAAACCCAACCCCACCATTGTTACTTCCTGCCTCAGCTGGAAGTAATGATGACTGTGAATTGTTTTTATCTTATTTTACCAATAAGGTGGTGTCAATCAGAGCCTCTATTACCCCCGTGGCCTCTTACTCAGAGGTTCCTCACCAGCAACAAGAGTTTTAACCAGTTTTATCCCATCGACTTGTCTGAGCTTTTGAAAACAGTAACACAAATGAGAGTGTCCTCCAGCCCACTTGATGTAATACCTACAAAATTTTTACTGAAAGTAATAGATTCTGTTGGCCCCCATTTGATCTCTGTTTTCAACAGTTCCCTATCTACTGGTTGTGTCCCTGATTATTTTAAAACGGCTTGCGTGAACCCACTTTTAAAGAAACCTGGTTTAGATCCCTCCCTCCCACATAATTTTAGAACAATTTCAAAACTGCCTTTTATTGCAAAGATTCTAGAAAGAATTGTGTCCAAACAGCTGCTCACTGTACTGGAAAATAACAAAATAACTAGCAATAATATACTAAAGTTTCAGTCTGGTTTTAGGAAGTACCACAGCACTGAGACTGCCCTGCTTAAAGTCACCAATGACCTTTTAATGTCTGCTGATGAAGGTATGTGCTCAGTCCTGGTACTCCTGGACTTTAGCGCTGCTTTTGACACCATTGATCACAACATCATGTTAGACAGACTGAGGCACTGGGTGGGGATCTCTGGTACTGCCCTAGAATGGTTTTCATCCTACCTGTCAAATAGGAAGTTTTGCGTGTCTGTAAACAACTATGTCTCCTCGTTCTGCCCAGTTAAATATGGTGTGCCTCAGGGGTCGGTCTTAGGACCCATTTTGTTTTCCTTGTATCTGCTTCCCCTTGGACATATTATCCATAAACATGGCATTTCTTTTCAGATTTATGCTGATGACACACAAATATACTTGCCCGTCAGATCCACAGACCCTGGAATGCTGAGTTCACTTAACAACTGCCTTTGTGAAGTTAAAAAATGGATGTCAAATAATTTCCTCCAGCTGAACTCAGACAAAACAGAAATCCTGGTCATCGGGTCTCAGCAGATGGCAAATCAAATATTGCCATCTGCTGGTTCGCTAGTAAATCACATTAAGCCTGTGGCAAAGAACCTTGGTGTTTGGTTTGATAGTAATTTCAATTTCGAGCAGCACACCACAAAGCTTGTTCAATCATCACGCCTGGATTATTGCAACAGCCTTTTCACCTGTTTAACCCAAAAATCTACTGATCGACTCCAGACTGTCCAGAACTCAGCTGCCAGGCTTTTAACCAGAACAAAGAAATATGACCACATTACTCCTATTTTAGCTTCATTACACTGGTTCCCAGTATATTTTAGAATAGACTTTAAAATTCTATTGATCACTTTTAAAGCTCTTCATGGCCTCTTGCCTTGTTATATTTATGAACTTTTAGTCCCATACACACCAGCACGCACCTTGAGATCCTCAGGCAGAGGTCTGTTGTCTGTTCCAGAGTCTCGACTGAAAACTAAAGGGGACAGAGCGTTTGCTGTCAGGTCCCCGTGGCTCTGGAACAGCCTGCCCAAGGAAACCAGGTCAGCTGAGTCAGTGAACTCTTTTAAGTCCCTTCTTAAAACATACTTTTATAGGAGAGCCTTTCCCAATCTTATTTGACTTTATTTTATCCCTTTTATTTTATTGTATTTTACTAATTTTATATTTATCTGTATTTTAGTCTTTTCAATGTTTTCTTGCTTTTATCTTGTATTGTTTTTGTATTATTGTCTTTACACTTGTTAAAGCACTTTGTAACTTGTTTTTGAAAAGTGCTCTACAAATAAGGATTATTATTATTATTATTATTATTATTATTATATAAGGGACCAGACAATTAATTGCGCATTGGTTTGTGTGGGAAAATTGTTTTCTTAAAAATATGGTGTTCAATCTGCAAATCTTGTGGAAGAGTTTATCTCTAAATTAAACGAAAGAATGTACATTTTTTCAGCACATGCGTGATATCAATCGATGTCATTATAAAGATACATGGAAACCGTTATAATAATAAGTATTGTTTGAAACATTGCTTCAAAGGGCAAACAACACTGTAGTTTTTTCTTACGTTGCAACTTTACTATCAGCATTGTGAAAAAAACAAAACAAGTAATACTGAGACGGCAAGTAAATGTCGATTGTGGTGGTGGTAAAAAGAGGAAGTACTTTTTGTATGACTCTCACATTATTGTCTCTCACTGTGGATCTCTGGCACAGTAATACACAGCAGTGTCTTCAGGCTGCACATTCTGTCCGTTTAGAGTCACTCTGTTGCTGGAAGAGTCTAAGGAGATACTGAACTTGTTCTTTAGGGAATCTTTGTAGGATGTGCTGGATCCAGCTCCGCTTCCAATCCACTCCAGTCCTTTCCCTGCAGGCTGTCTGATCCAAGCTGTCCAGTAGCTGCTAAGAGAATAAGAGACCTGACAGGTGATGGTCAGACGTTGACCTGGCTGCACAGTCACAGAGGCTGGCTGTGTCAACTGTTCACACTTCACACCTGTTAAAAAAGAAAATGTTTTGTAACAAATGATCAAGTTATACTGCAAAAAAGAACTGCTGACTTTGTCAAATCCAGACAGACTCACATCCAGCTGCCAACAGCAGCAGCAGAGCTAAAGAAAACATGGTTTATGTTGAAAGTGACGTGCTGTGAACTCCACTGACAGCCTGATGGGAAGTTTTTATAGCTGAGTAACAAGGAAGGTCACTGAGTTTGCATAGAATCAAACACATGAAGCATCAATGTTGGTCTAACTGGAGCCAATAGAAGAGTCTGTTGACTGTTATTATATCTGCAGAGTGAAAACATGCCTGGAAATCACCTCTGCTTTGCATATGATGTTTAAAGTTCATCTCACACTCTATTTTGACAATGTCCTTGCATTTACAGATATGAAACAACTGTTAATTTTGCTTTTACTGTAAACTATTAACTCCTAAATATGTTGTATTGAAACAACTAATGTAAATTTTTGTGCAATTGTAATAATGATACGATTATTATTGCTATTCTTCATTTAAATATTAAAATGAGTCAGCGATAATGGAAAACAAAATCAGCATTGCAATAACAATAAGAGAAATACAGTGACAGCATCACCGATCATGTAACTACAACAGAAATGTAAGTTTTCTGCAGGTTTGCATAAAATACATTTAATGGTTTCAGTGTTTACAGACTCTAGTGGAGCAGCTCCTTCAGGCTTCCTGCTGTTCATCTCAAGATCTTCTTCATGTCTGCTGAGATGAACTGATACTGACAGATGGAGCTGCAGTCACTGATGGTAAACACCTTATAGTCAAACACTAAAGACACTAAAGTCAAGTTAACACATGAGTTTAGTTTAGGGTAGAAAAGTATCAACTATCACAGTATCCAGTGTACATGAGCAGCAGGAGTGTTAAGCTTTAGTTCAGTCCAGGGTTCAAGTGTCAGTCAGTTAAGATCAATGAGAACAGCAGATCTAAGTGTCTCCTTTTAGATACAGAGGAGAGAGAAACATGAAAAAAAACAAAACACATTTATAGAATAAAGTATGTAATATGAATACTAAGGTGGAAAGTCATGATTGGGCAACAACAGCCTGAAAGATGACTACAGCTGCTCAACCAATGCACTGTGGGACTTTCTGCCAGACTGAAGTTGATAAATGTGATTGTATTTAAGAACTTGTATTGTAAAAGAACTTTAGCGTTCAACATCATGTAGTTAGTATAATGTGTGTTATAGTAATGCTTAAATTTATATTTGAAAAGTTGATGTGTGACGGTCATCAACGCTCTCGTGTCCTGCAATAAAAAAAGCAAACCAGTTTAAAGATCAATATGATGAGTGCTAGTTGATTGATTTTAATGTCCTTTATAAGTATATTAATAAAAACACATTAACAAAAAACAGCAGTCCAAGAAATGTTATACAGACTGAATGTAATTTTCCCAGAGGTGGTGGTAAATAGAGGAAGTAGTTTTTGTATGACTCTCCTGTTATTGTCTCTCACTATGTCTCTTCTGGCACAGTAATACACTGCTGTGTCCTCGGTCTTCAGATTGTTCATCTGTAGATAGACTTTACTGCTGGAGTCATCTCTGGAGATGGTGAATCTACCCTGGACTGACTGGGAGTAAGAGATTGGAGAACTAAATGTGTGTACAAGAGCAATCCACTCCAGTCCTTTTCTTTGAAAATGATAATCTTTGAATATTTGAGTTTGTTGCAGCTGGTGGAGGGCCTGGATTGTTATTTCTTTTTTTACTTTTAAAGGTTTCAGAATATAAATTGTGGCAGTTTGAAGCCACAGACATACAGAGAAACCTGGAGCCTCAAAAGGACATATGCAAAGAACTTACAACTGCAGTGCACAGGAAAAAGGCTGCCGGTTTATCTGTCAGATTAATGTACATGAAAGTGCAAATTTTAAATCACAATTAAGAAGAGTAAACAAAACACTAGACAATTTGAGTAGTTAAGTGAGTGTAGAGCTGAAAACAGTTTGATTCTCCATTTATTCTCTCAATCCACAGACTCTGCAGGACTCTAGTAAGAGTAAAAACACTTTATTGTTCAGCCACTATCTTCTCTGAGGAGTCATTTTGATTAAGTGTATTGTATCTTTTAACATTAATGACATTAGTCATGTGAGTTGATTGTGGTAAAGATGAGTCCTGTAGGTTTTTGTACAGCTGCTCAACCAACTCCAGTCACTGTGAGTGTCGAGCACAATAATAAACAGCAGAATCTTCAGTCTTCAGACTGTTCATCTGCAGATACACCTGCTGTCTGTTGTTGTCTTTGGAGATGGTAAACTGGCCTTGAACTGACTGAGAATAGTAAGTGCTACCACCGCTACTGATATAAGCAACCCACTCCAGGCCTTTTCCAGGAGCCTGTCTGATCCAGTGCATGCCCCAGCTGCTGAGTGCGAACCCAGAAGTTGTACAGGTCAATCTGTGAGATTCTCCAGGCCTTTTAACCACTGGTTCAGATTCTGTCAGAGTCTGACCATCAACACCTGTTAGGACAAGAAAATAATATATATATATATAATAATAATATAATAACTCAACTCATGATCAGTGAGAATCTTCACCTGCCCAGCAGACAGTTAAAAGCAGCAGTCCTGTCTTATAGTCCATCATGTTAAACTGTGTGTCCACTGTTCTCTGTCATCCTCTCTGCAGTCAGATAAGTAGAGGTGGAAGAAATCTGAGTTTTGCATTGACTCCTCCTCACAGGTTGAAACTGGAGAATAAATGTTTACTGTTAAAAAGTCAAAGAGTCCCTCTTTCTTTTTTGACAAACTCATTGTTAAAGTTGGTTGCTTCATTATTAGGCACAGTCTGTATCATATGTGTCGCAACAGTGTATCTGTTACCCCCAAATTAGAATTTTAAATTACATTTTAATAGGGAGAAAACAAACAAATAAAACCATAACAAATATTTCTATATGTTATAATAGTGTTGATTTTTGTGACAGAAAACCCCAAAATGAAGTGCATAAAAACATTGGTATTTTTTTTTATATAAGATTTATAAATTCAATAGATGTGAAGAAATAATTTATCGGTAGTGTGACGCAGGTTTAAGTCATGATAGGATTGATTGACAGCCAAAGGTGACAGCCAGTAGATCAGACTCTCTCTCTCCACTCTGCCTGCCAGTCGACTGACTGATGCAGCTGAGTTAATAATGAATTGTTATACATTTGTTAGGTTGCCCAGGTCAAGATTATCTTTATTGTGTTTTGTGGTGTCCGAACAATAATGCTGCGATGATGTGTTGAGAAGAAATCCGCTTGACTTCATTACAGTCAGACCAATTGGCTCTTTGTAAAAGGTGTTGCATGTGGCTTTAATGATTGATTTGATAAGGTTACAGTTCTGGAATAAATTGGGAACACGTATGAAAATGTGTTTCACAGTTTCATATTTGCAATTAAAACAGACGATTACTGAGCAGCCCAATGTTGGTATATTTTGAAACCTTAGCTCCCCCTTTACTGATAAAGTTCACACTATGATCATGAAATAAATAATTTATTATTATTATAGGCACTGTGTTGTATACCCCTCTCCTGCATCATATAAGCCGTTCTGTACATTTTGTTTTTGGTTGTTGTGTGTTTGTTTCCTTTTTATGTCTATCTTGTATTTATATAAACGCTTTAATAAATAAATGCTACACAGAATTTTAATTAGTGAGAGTTAATCACAATCAGTATTGTAAAAAAGGTGATACTGAAAATAATGGAGTTCTATAACTAAAGTTCAGGAACAGGACCACGCCTCTCTCTCACTAATTCGACCACCTGTGCCCATTTAATCCAAGCCTGTCTAACCCCTTTCTCTCCTGTTTCTCAGTTCTCACATCCCCCCCCAACCCTGTTTTCTTTCATATGAGGTTTTAATTTCAATTCAGTTTTTAATATTTCATTATTACTATTTGTAAGTGAATATTAACATGAATCATGGATAATGGAAAACATATTCATTTAAATTTAATCATGATTAGCATGTTTATAAATTATTAAAACACACTTTAAATATGATGCAATCTGTTTTCTTCAGAACGTTTATTTACTGTCAGCACCTCCTACATCATATTAATGATTAACTTCAAAATTATGAGCACAGGTTTTTGTAATTGCAGCATTTATTTATTCCTTTATTTACTGTATTTGATGCAAACAGAAATAAAGTGACAGCAACATTTACATAGTAAAACAGTCTTAATCAAATATCATGCTATGTGGTTATTTGTTTGTGGCTTGTTGTATAAAAAAATGACTTCAATATGCTGCCATACTTTTCTGTTCAAAATGTGTGGAATCAAGTTAAAAGAGGACTTTGTTTGATGTTGAAAATCATCACAGTATCGAGAGTACATGAGCAGCAGGAGTGCTTTCAGTCAGCTGTAGTTTTTGTTAACACTTAAATATGCTGTCTTTCTTTTCTGTTCAAAATGTGCTGAACAAAGTTAACACCTGACTTTTGTTTAGGGTAGAAAAGTATCAACTATCACAGTATCCAGTGGACATGAGCGGCTGGAGTGTTAAGCTTTAGTTCAGTCCAGGGTTCAAGTGTCAGTCAGTTAAGATCAATGAGAACACCAGATCTGAGTGTCTCCTTTTAGAAACAGAGGAGAGAGAAACTTGACACTGACTGCCCTCTAGTGATTTTATGAAGCTGCACGAAATTATTTTCACTCTCATATTATAACTCACTTTAGATTCCACACAATTTACAGACATTAATGCATCTAAATTTGTAGACATGTATAGAAATGTTTAGTCTTTCTTTTTGTTAGTGTAATTTCAACAACCATAGTGTTGTGCTGTCTGTTATAAAAAAGTGATCTTTATTGTGTTTTTCTTTAATGTGTTCATATGTAATGTAATAAGGTTTCTCAGGAACAGTTTACAAAAACATGTAATGGAACATAAGTATATGATTTAAGTACTATAAAAAAAACCTCTTAGGCTCTAAAAGAACAAAGATGTGTACTGTGGGATTTTTTTATAGCTGCTCAACCAACTCCAGTCACTGTGAGTCTCAAGCACAATAATAAACGGCAGAATCTTCAGTCTTCAGACTGTTCATCTGCAGATACACCTGCTGTCTGCTGTTGTC